TTCTTATTGAAATTAGACTTACTGTTTGTATGTATTGGAAAACACCCAGCTGCTAGAAGAAGAGACCACATAAAAATGAGTTAATCATCAGGCCTCCTGTCTAGAGAAACTTACGTATTTAAAACAAAAGAATGTTTCCTTTAATTCAGAAGGGAAAAGAATAAAGTCAACCCACAACTGGTTATTGTGATCATTCTCCATCAGTGGATGTTGTATTGAAATCTTCTTTTTCCATCTATCTGTCCTGAAAGTTTGTGAGTGACTTGGGCACAAGGGCCCTCCTTATTACTTTTTTAAATTTTGAGAACTTGTCACATAGCAGACCTTCATCTCAAGTTTGCTGAAGTATGTTTTTACCTGTCCTTATTAGTAGTAGTGAAAGTCACTCAGAGATGTCCAGTCGACTCTTTGTGACTCTATGGACTATACAGTCCATGGAATTCTCCAGGCCAGAATACTGGAGTGGGTAGCTTTTCCCTTCTCCAGGGAATCTTCCCAACTGAGGGATCCAAACCCAGATCTCTTGCATTTACACTTGTAAATGAGGCTCAAAATGTTGCCTCTCCCCCACCTACCCTCAAGATCAGGACTGCTAGGGGAGCTTTATTCAAATAACAACAACAATTTTAGATGCAATAAATTGGATAGCACACCATTGATTCAATAACAGATTAACTTGGGGGCAGAAAGAGAGTCACTACATCTGTAAACAACTACCATAAACACATCCTGATTGCAAGAAAGTTAAATTTTCAAAGTATGTGAGGAAATCCTGTCATTGTCCTTGACTGGACTTCTGGTCTCAAAATCAGAGTAGTCTCTTGGCTCTGTTACGTCAGCCGACAATTCTTCAGTGCGGCTTATATGCCCTCAACTCATTCTTCTCTTCCTCCAGTGCTTTTCCTGAGACCATTGATAACTTCCAAATATTTGCGTTATTGTTTTCTTGGATTTCCATTTCCTTGTATAAACCCTCCTCTTTGAGTTCTTCCCTGCCTTTTACAGCCTCCCATTGTCCTCAGGTCCCTGCCTCTGAGGCGCTTTCCTTCTTCCATGATGCTCACTCACCTTTTCCTCGGTGTGGGTGCCCCAGGCTCATCCCCTTCTTCTTTCAGTCCTCACAAGTCATTCTCAGCCCTGACTGATCATCAGAATCACTTGAAGAGCCTTCTGGAAAGATTCAAACCCAGATCCCAACTCAGATCTGTGGAATCAGTCAACTTGGACCGAGATATTAGTTCTGTAACCTGTGTTTGTGTACCTTACTTAGCATCTGAAGCTCAATTTCTTCTCCTGTAAAATTAAGATAATGCTAAAAATCTCTTTTGTTCAATCTCTGAATACATTCTTACTCCTCGTTGTCACAGCAAACATCGTCACTTCTCCTCATTTATTTGAAGCCTGCGTTCCTTTGAAAGCTGAGCTCAAATCCTTTCCTTCTCACAACCCTCCACCATCACAACTGATTTTGGATTGTTTACAGAGCGCACAGAACTCAAGAGCAACTTGTTGAAATGAAACTGTTTCCTGGCTGAGCTTCCCACAACTATCTTGTCACTTTTCAATTTTTTTCTCCATGCAGCACTTCAATATTCCAGAGTGATCTTTTTAAAAAAAAAATTGGATCACATTGTTCCCTATTTTAAATCCTTCAATGAATTCTCTTTTTTAAAATGTATTTATTCATTTATTTTTATTTTTTTGGTTGAGCTAGGTTGCTGCACACAGGCTTTTTCTAGTTGAGACGAGTGGGGGCTACTCTCTAGATGCCAATGCATCTCATTGTGGCGGCTTCACTTGTTCAGAGCACAGGCTCGAGGCACGTGGGCTTCAGTAATTGCTGCACAAGGCCTCACTCAGTAGGTTCATGGGCTTAGTTGCTCACAGCATGTGGAATCTTCCCAGACTGGGGATTGAACCCGTGTCCCCTGCCTTGGCAGGTGGATTCCTATCCACTGTATCACCAGGGAAGTCCCCAGTGACTTTGATTACAGGAGATGCTGGATTTATTGAATGAATGCAGTTGACTGACGACAGAACATGCAAACAGTCGGGGAGGCTAAACACAAATCTTTCCCAGGAAGGAGATGGCTCTTGGCACAGCTGAGAGAATGCAATCAGGTGGGCACACCTGGAGCTGGTAGAGTCATCCTCTTTCAGAGCCTCTGCCAAGCCTGAGAGTGGGGCCAGAAGGTTTGTAAGCAGCGGTGTCCCAAAAGTGCAGAAGCACTGACCTCCAAAACTCTAAGGAGAACGAAGGCATTATTGATTCTGCACTCCTGTAACAGCAATGCTGGTTGATCTCTTTTCCCTTAGAAATCTGAATTATATGTTCCAATAGACGACAAGTCTAGGTTTTCCTCTTTTCCTGTAACTGAACATACCTTGTGCTAGACATGTTTCCTTTAGGTTACCAGCTGCCTTAAGAGAGTGCCAATTCAAGCCATTGTGTGACTTTAGTAGGATTACATTGATTAACCAACATTAATGCATTATGATGGTTTCTAGGCCAACAGCATGAAATGAGGGGCTTTTAACCAAAGAAGTTATATTTTTGTTCTTTCATTGAAAACAGCCATTTATATAGTTAAAGGCCCCACCCTTCACCATCCTGCTGCTGTCTTTAACAGGCTGGTTCCCTCTTCCTGCACTGTGCTCTCATCTCACTTGCTCTGCCCCATTCTCCCCCTTAATGGAATCCCTTACTATTATACAGTGGAAGTGAGAAGTAGATTCAAGGGACTAGATCTGATAGACAGAGTGCCTAAGGAAGTATGGATGGAGATTCATGACATTGTACAGGAGGCAGGGATCAAGACCATTCCCAAGAAAAAGAAATGCAAAAAGGCAAAATTGTCTGAGGAGGCCTTACAAATAGCTGTGAAAAGAAGAGAAGCAAAAGGCAAAGGAAAAAAGAAAAGATACACCCATTTGAATGCAGAGTTCCAAAGAATAGCAAGGAGAGAAAGGAAAGCCTTCCTCAGTGATCGTGCAAAGAAATAGAGAAAAATAATAGAATGGGAAAGACTAGAGATCTCTTCAAGAAAATCAGAGATACCAAGGGAACATTTCATGCAAAGAGGGATTTGATAGAGGACAGAAATGGTATGGACCTAACAGAAGCAGAAGATATTAAGAAGAGGTGGCAAAAATACACAGAAGAACTATACAAAAAAGATCTTCACAATCCAGATAATCACGATGGTGTGATCAGTCAGTTTGAGCCAGACATCCTGGAATGTGAAGTCAAGTGGGCCTTAGGAAGCATCACTATGAACAAAGCTAGTGGAGGTGATGGGATTCCAGTTGAGCTGTTTCAAATCCTAAAAGATGATGCTATGAAAGTGCTGCACTCAATATACCAGCAAATTTGGAAAACTCAGCAGTGGCCACAGGACTGGAAAAAGTCAGTTTTCATTCCGATCCCAAAGAATGGCAATGCCAAAGAATGCTCAAACTACCACACAATTGTACTCATATCACATGTTAATAGGGTAATGCTCAAAATTCTCCAAGTAAGACTTCAACAGTACATGAACTAAGAACTTCCAGATGTTCAAGCTGGATTTAGAAAAGGCAGAGGAACCAGAGATCAAATTGCCAGCATACGTTGGATCATCAAGAAAGCAAGAGAATTCCAGAAAAACATCTATTTCTGCTTTATTGACTGTGCCAAAGCCTTTAACTGTGCGGATCACCACAAACTGTGGAAAATTCTTGAAGAGGTGGGAATAGCAGACCACCTGACCTGCCTTTTGAGAAATCTGTATGCAGGTCAGGAAGCAACAGTTAGAACTGGACATGGAACAACAAACTGGTTCCATATTGGAAAAGTAGCACATCAAGGCTGTATACTGTCATCCTGCTTATTTAACTTATATGCAAGTACATCATGAGAAACGCTAAGCTGGATGAAGCACAAGCTGGAATCAAGATTGCCGGGAGAAATATCAATAACCTCAGATATGCAGATGACACCACCCTTATGGCAGAAAGCAAAGATGAACTAAAGAGCCTTTTGATGAAAGTGAAAGAGGAGAGTGGAAAAGTTGGCTTAAAACTCAACATTCAGAAAACTAATATCATGACATCCAGTCCCATCACTTCATGGCAAATAGATGGGGAAACAGTGGAAACAGTGGCTGACTTTATTTGGAGGGTGGGCTCCAAAATGACTGCAGATGGTGATTGCAGCCATGAAATTAAAAGATGCTTGCTCCTTGGAAGAAAAGCTATGACCAACCTAGGTAGCATATTAAAAAGCAGAGACATTACTTTGCCAACAAAGGTCCATCTAGTCAAGGCTATGGTTTTCCCAGTAGTCATGTATGGATCTAAGAGTTATACTATAAAGAAAGCTGAGTGCCAAAGAATTGATGCTTTTGAACTGTGGTGTTGGAGAAGACTCTTGAGAATCCCTTGGACTGCAAGGAGATCCAACCTGTCCATCCTAAAGGAAATCAGTCCTGAATATTTATTGGAAGGACTGATGTTGAAGCTGAAACTCCAATACTTTGGCCCCCTGATGCAAAGAACTGACTCATTTGAAAAGACTCTGATTGTGGGGAAAGATTGAAGGCAGAAAGAGAAGGGGATGACTGAGGACAAGATGGTTGGATGGCATCACCGATTCAATGGACATTAGCTTGAGCAAACTCCAGGAGATGGGGAAGGACAGGGAAGCCTGGTATGCTGAAGTCCATGGGGTCGTAAAGAGTCGGACACGACTGAATAATTGAAGAACAATGCAGGTATAAAATAGATAATGAGATAATGAGAACCTACTGTATTGCACAGGGACCGATACTCAATTCTGTGTAGTGAGCTAAACCGGAAGGACATCCAAAAAAGAGGGGATGTAGGTAAACATAGAGCTGATTCACTTTGCTGTACATCAGAAATTAACACAGCGTTGTAAAGCAACTCACTCCAATAAAAAGAAATTAACCCTGTTACTAATTTAGGAGGAAACATTAATTAATTGATGTAAGTATGCTTACCATGGGCTCTGGTATCTGTGGCTTAGTTTGTCAATAGCAGCGTGACTGAAGTCTTCATACTGTAAAAAGAAGAAAAATCAATGGGCATGAACATGTCTGAGAGTCTAGGTTCCTAGTCAAAGAGGAGGTCAGGTGGAGCAATTAAACAAGAAACGCTAAATTCAGTTGAGGAAAGATGGCCTTTTGATTCTTGAACTGAGAAGAAAAGGTACAAGAAGTAAAATAAATCTGACCCTCTGTGCTTTCCCTGCCCTCTCTATAAAAGGACAGGTGTTGGGTCTGCAGAAAGTGTCATCTGCAATCTTGAAACATCTCATGATCCTGTATCTACATGAGCAGGCACTCAAAACCAGGACTTACCATTTATTTTTTATTTTTCATAGTGGGTCCTTGTTGGTTACCAATCTTAAATAGTGCACTGTGTACATATCCATCCCAACTCCTTAATGATCCCTTCCCCCCAACAACTATAACATGACATTATTTAGGCTCAGCTTAGCTTTTTTCACATCACCTTACCCTCATGTGAAAAGATACTCAACAGCACTAATTATTAGAGAAATGCAAATCCAAACTACTATGAGGTATCACCTCACACTGGTCAGAATGGTCATCGTCAAAAAGTCTACAAATAGTAAGTGCTGGAGAAGATGTAGAAAAAAGGTATCTTCTTACACTGTTGGTTGGAATGTGAAGTGGTGCAGCTGCTATGGAAAACAGTGCGGAGGTTCCTTAAAAACCTAAAAATACAACTACCATATGATCCAGCAATCTGACTCCTGGGCAGATATCTGAAGAAAATTATAATTTGAAAAGATATGTGCACTCCAATGTTCATTACAGCATAATTTACAATAGACAAGTTATGGAGCATCTTAACAGCATCATCTACAGATGAATGGTTAAAGATGTGGGATATATATACAATGGGTTATTACTCAGCCATAAAAAGAATGAAATACTGCCATTTGTAGCAACATAAACAGACTTAGAGATTATCACATTGAGTGTAATAAATCAGACAAAGGCAAATATTATTTGATATCACATGTGCAATCCAAAAAAATTATACAAATGAACTTATTTACAAAACAGAAACAGACTCACAGATATAGAAAACATACTCATGGTTATTACCAAAGGAAATGGAAGAGTGGAGGAAAAATTAGGAGCTTGGGATTAACCGATACCAACTTCTTTATATAAAATAGATAACAGACAAGGACCTACTGTATAGAACAAGGACCTATACTCAATACCTTGTAATAACCTACAATGGAAGATAAGCTGAAAGAGAATCTATCATCTATCTGTTTGAACCACTTTGCTACACACCAGAAACTAACACAACACTGTAAATGAACCTCAAATACATCAATAAAAAAGAAAAAAGGGGGAAAAGTAGCAAAATCATACCACAATGTTAACCTTAGATAAATCACGTGGTACTCTTTTTTATCTCCCCTGTTTTCTTCCCTTTTCCTCAAGCTTTGCTTTATAATGCCTTTCCTGATCAAGGGCTGTGTTGGGAAAGCAGGTCTACTTAAGTCATTTCTCAGTGATGAAGATCTGAAAACTTGATCACTTCTAGATCTTTAATGTCCATGTGTAAAATAATAAACAAAGGAAGGGACAAAATAAACAAGACTTAAATGCAAGGCTAAGCCACTATTCCAAAAGTTTGAAAAGTGATAATCTGTGTTTAGGACTTTCCTGGTAGCTCAGTGATAAAGAATCCTCTTGTCAATGCAGGAGATGTAGGTTTGATACCAGGTTGGAAAGATGCCCTGGAGAAGGAAATGGCAACCCACTCCAGTATCGTTGCCTGGAAAATCCCATGGACAGAGGAGCCTGGCAGGGTACAGTTCATGGGGTTGCAAAGAGTCAGACATGACTGCTTAGCAACTACATAACAACAATCTGTCTGTAATGGTGAAATCTTTGTTTTTCAATTGATTTCTTTTTTAACTTTTTATTTTATATTGAGGTATAGCCAATTAACAATGTTGTGATAGTTTCAAGGGGACAGCAAAGGGACTCAGCCATAAATATACATGTATCCATTCTCCCCCAAACTCCTGAGTCTCAACTGATTCCTGACACCTATTCCCTGAATATCAATCTTATCAACTGACTTACAAATAATTTTATCAGTTTATGGGCAAATTTTCCAGGGCTGGGATAATCTTTGATTTTTGTTCTCATTTTTAATAACCCAAACTTTTACTGGTTTAATCTGGAAAGGTTTTCCTTAGAAACACATAATGCATTCATTAGCCTCTAACCCTACCCTATTTCTCCTATAGTTATCAGCACATAATGTCATAGAAATTTATCTAAAATAAGCTGACCCGAAAGCATTTCCCCTGAAATCAGGAACAAGACAAGGGTGCCCACTCTCACCACTACTATTCAACATAGTTTTGGAAGTTTTGGCCACAGCAATCAGGGCAGAAAAAGAAATAAAAGGAATCCAGATAGGAAAAGAAGAAGTGAAACTCTCTCTGTTTGCAGATGACATGATCCTCTACATAGAAAATCCTAAAGACTCTACCAGAAAATTACTAGAGCTAATCAACGAATACAGTAAAGTTGCAGGATATAAAATTAACACACAGAAATCTCTTGCATTCCTATACACTAACAATGAGAAAACAGAAAGAGAAATTAAGGAAACAATACCATTCACCATTGCAACAAAAAGAATAAAATACTTAGGAGTATATCTACCTAAAGAAACAAAAGACCTATACATAGAAAACTATAAAACACTGATGAAAGAAATCAAAGAGGACACAAACAGATGGAGAAATATACCGTGTTCATGGATTGGAAGAATCAATATTGTCAAAATGGCTATACTACCCAAAGCAATCTATAGATTCAATGCAATCCCTATCAAACTACCAACGGTATTTTTCACAGAACTAGAACGAATAATTTCACAATTTGTATGGAAATACAAAAAACCTCGAATAGCCAAAGTCATCCTGAGAAAGAAGAATGGAACTGGAGGAATCAATCTGCCTGACTTCAGACTATACTACAAAGCCACAGTCATCAAGACAGTATGGTACTGGCACAAAGACAGAAATATAGATCAATGGAACAGAATAGAAAGCCCAGAGATAAATCCACGAACCTATGGTCACCTTATCTTCGACAAAGGAGGCAAGGATATACAATGGAAAAAAGACAACCTCTTTAACAAGTGGTGCTGGGAAAACTGGTCAACCACCTGTAAAAGAATGAAACTAGAACACTTTCTAACACCATACACAAAAATAAACTCAAAATGGATTAAAGATCTAAATGTAAGACCAGAAACTATAAAACTCCTATAGGAGAACATAGGCAAAACATTCTCCGACATAAATCACAGCAGGATCCTCTATGACCCACATCCCAGAATTTTAGAAATAAAAGCAAAAATAAACAAATGGGACCTAATGAAACTTAAAAGCTTTTGCACAACAAAGGAAACTATAAGCAAGGTGAAAAGACAGCCCTCAGATTGGGAGAAAATAATAGCAAACGAAGCAACAGACAAAGGATTAATCTCAAAAATATACAAGCAACTCCTCCAGCTCAACTCCAGAAAAATAAATGACCCAATCATAAAATGGGCCAAAGAACTAAACAGACATTTCTCCAAGGAAGACATACAGATGGCTAACAAACACATGAAAAGATGCTCAACATCACTCATTATCAGAGAAATGCAAATCAAAACCACAATGAGGTACCATTACACACCAGTCAGGATGGCTGCTATCCAAAAGTCTACAAGCAATAAATGCTGGAGAGGGTGTGGAGAAAAGGGAACCCTCTTACAGTGTTGGTGGGAATGCAAATTAGTACAGCCACTATGGAAAACAGTGTGGAGATTTCTTAAAAAGCTGGAAATAGAACTGCCATATGACCCAGCAATCCCACTTCTGGGCATACACACCGAGGAAACCAGATCTGAAAGAGACACGTGCACCCCAATGTTCATCGCAGCACTGTTTATAATAGCCAGGACATGGAAGCAACCTAGATGCCCATCAGCAGATGAATGGATAAGGAAGCTGTGGTACATATACACCATGGAATATTACTCAGCCATTAAAAATAATTCATTTGAATCAGTTCTAATGAGATGGATGAAACTGGAGCCCATTATACAGAGCGAAGTAAGCCAGAAAGATAAAGACCATTACAGTATACTAACACATATATATGGAATTTAGAAAGATGGTAACGAAAACCCTATATGCAAAACAGAAAAAGAGACTCCGATGTATAGAACAGTCTTGTGGACTCTGGGAGAAGGCGAGGGTGGGATGTTTCAAGAGAACAGCATCGAAACACATATATTATCTAGGGTGAAACAGATCACCAGCCCAGGTTGGATGCATGAGACAAGTGCTCGGGCCTGGTGCACTGGGAAGACCCAGAGGGATCAGGTGGAGAGGGAGGTGGGAGGGGGGACCGGGATTGGGAATACATGTAAATCCATGGCTAATTCATCTCAATGTATGACAAAAGCCACTGCAATGATGTAAAGTAATTAGCCTCCAACTAATAAAAATAAATGAAAAAAAAATAAAATAAAATAAGCTGACCCTTCTCTGTCTTTTTTCTGTTTTTTCCTCTCTGTCTTAATTAATGAGATTCATCATGATTTATTTGTACAGTTGTGCTCATTTTGTTGTTAAAGCTAATGAAATTCAGAATTAAAAAAAATTTTTTTTTTTACTGGTCAGTTATTCATAAAAGTAAAGCAAAGACTGATTCAAAAATGAATTCAGCACCTTCATAGAAACAGGTAACAACTGAGTAGTATATGTTGTATGCTAAGGAGATCAGTAAGAATCTTTGCAGTTATTTTGCATGCTTTCAGCTAGCAAAAAAAAATTATAACTTGAAATTGGATATTCCCTATTAAACAATCTTTAAATAAGTCTAGGTATTAAGGAAAAAGAAATATCTGCTAATTACATTTAGATACTGTGAATTAGGCACAATTTCTCAAATGAGCTATTAAATTTAAGTTAAATTAATTACAGACATTGGG